ACGCCCTGTTCTTGTGGGCTCTTCCTACCTGGTCAGTGTGTAGTACTGTTCAGTCAATGCCCTTTTGAAGTTGGGCAATTGAATCCTACCTGCAACTCTTTTTCTACTCTGTCCTTTTTCTTAACCACCGCGGTTAATCTTCCCTGACAAGGCTGAGCTTGCCCATCCTTATACCTTCCACTCTTCAATTCTCGCCAGTAGCATTTAAAGACAAAAACATGAGCCAAATCAGACTCTCAAAGCAGTTGTACTCTCACAAAAGTAGAATACTTGTATTCTCTTCCAAGCTCAGTGTCTCCCATCCCTGCCTTCCTAATTCTCCTGTTTCTTCTCCCAAAATCAACATTTCTTCTAATTCTACCGCTAATCCAAAGCCTAATCTCAAGAAAACCAACGAAGTTGATACTTTGATGACTTTTCAGAAACAAGAAGGAGAATGCATTCACAACACTCTTCAGTTCTTGAGTCCATCCCAACTCCTTCAAGTCCTTGAGGTGGCTGCTGTTCTCCACCCCTTTATCCTCCACACCATCCTCTCTATCCTCGATTGCAACCCATCCCTTCGGCCTAAAACCACCTCTGAAAATCTCCGGAAATTCTTCTCAAAAAATGGAGATAGCGAAGAAGGTAAAGTTGTGATCTCTGACGAAGTCACCACTGGAAAGAGTAAAGTTTGCGGTTTTGTCAGTTTCAAGAATGGTATGGTTGGTGGGCGTGGTGGACAACGTGGGACCCGGATTAAGGAAAATACATCATCAATTTTTGGTCCCATTCCTTAAATGGGTGATGATTCTGGGGCTTCGTCTTGTGCAAGAAAATAGAATTACAATTTGCATTGCTGACATTATTGGATGTCGGTCTCTTTTGTAAATTTTTCTTTTTTTCTAGCAGATCAAGTGAAGAACCCTCTATTTGTTTTGGCGTCTGGGATAGTGGTTTCTGCTGTTTAGGATATTGCACATACAAGTCACTGGATTTTAGTCGCTTCAAAATGCTTATCGGTGGATATTTTAGTTATAAATTCTATGTTTCATGTGTGCTTGTATAGACCTTTTCCTTTTTAATTTTTTGTGATCTTTTTTTTTTTTTTAAAAAGTTGTTTTTCATAATCAGATGCTAATGGGGCCACGGTTAACTGACTTGTCTGGCTTAAATTGCTAAAAGAACGAAGGATCATGCTTGAAAGTCTAAAAATGCAAAATGGCCGGCCTACATTGTTCGTTTTGCATTAAGCTGAATTGAACAAATCTAAGAAGAGCAAGAATTCGCTGTTTAAAGCATCCGGGAATTGCTGTTCCTAGATGCTCAGAGATGTGGGACCAGCATCTAGAATTGCTCAGAGATGTAAACTAATCAAGGAACCGATCAGACAATGAAAATAGCAACCCTCATCGCCAACTTTCAATGAGAGATACCTCTTGAGAAGAAATGCCTTCAAAATCACCATCTACGAAGGCAAGAACCGATTAAACAGATGATGCTTTTGCCTTTTACTGCAAATGTTGCTAACTTTGTCGTAAAGAATGGTGTAATTTGAGCTGCCTACATTCCTGAGATAGCAGAATTCATTATCCTTGTAGCTGTAGGCTTGGTTTGTAGTACCCAATCCGCTAATTACCAAATTCCCCTTTACAAGCATGCTACTGTTTCCCTTCTGTATGTTTTCGAGACAGCTGACGGACAATCCCTGGTCAGATTTCTTAATCTTTTTCTCGTCAAAACCCAGAGCTACATTTGACACAGAAACATATGTTCCATTTGCTCGATCCGTAACATCTGTATACAAGTAAAAAGGAAAATGTTTCAGGGATTTGATCGACTTTACTGAAGACAGAGTCCTAGCAGAAACCATGTCATTGTACTCAATTGTCTGATTTACAATCTGCCTATTAGCCTCGTTTCCCAGAACCATAGAGTTCCTGTATTTCAAGTCTTGAGTTGCCTTGGTGATGATAGTACCGTATGATGATGACTTCACCCATCCTTCTGATGTTATAGTCCTACTGGCATTTATGAAGAATGATCCATCCAAACCTGTGAAATTCGCTGCGAAGGAAAAGGTTAGGGGCGGGCTATCGTGACTTAACAGCTCGCCTTCTGTCTTCGCACTCTTTTTGTCCAACCAAAGATGCAAATTTGCATCTATGTACCAGACATTCAAAGCATTCGCAACACTAAAGCCAAGTTTATGAGTCTTTCCATCCAATATCTTGCCCAAAAAAGGAGTAATCTCAATGTCATAGGTAGGCAGGTCAAACGATCCAATTCCGGTAATAGGTCTCCACAACAGGGGATCAATACCCCCAGTATAAACCACTGTAAATGGCCAGATAGAACCAGCCAAAACATCATCTAAACTCACAAGAACCTCTCTAAAAGGACCATTTCCTGCGTAACCTGTAAGGTTATTGGCAGCAATGTACTCATTTGGAAAATTTCCGTACCAAAATTCATCATTTTCATGAAATGAAACATAAACTTCCAAGACAGCCCTGTACACATTTGGTGGAATACGAAACTCCTTAGACTCCACATCGGTAGAATTCTGAATTTCAAACCATAACCCATCATTCAATGGCAAATTTCTTGATATGGGCAATATCAGATCAGCCACAGAATTAGCAGAATCATCTATATTCAGCCCACTAAAACCATAATTTTCCTCAGCGGGATAAAAATGCACACTAATATTCACATGGTAAATACCAGTATAAGTCTTGTCAACAAGATTGCCCAGATAAACAGCAAGGGTCTGATTAGTCATAAGCAAAGAATAATACCTAGTGATGTCCTTCTCAACAGTCCAAACAATCCCAGTAGCTCTTGGTTCAGCAGTACAACTCCTCAAAATCTCCACACCACCAAGCCAAACTCCAAAAATTCTATCGAATTGCCTCCCTTTGCTGGAGGCCTTCCATTCAAAAACAATTTTTGAAAATTTCTGAGAAGGGCAGTTGGAGGGTGGAGTGTAATTTGCAAAAACTGGTGGCTTGCCATAGGTGAAGCCAAAATCATGTTGAAGAATCAAATAGGAGCAAGGCTTAGTCTTGGGCAGTTGTATAGGCTTTGTGACTTCAAAATAGGTTGTTGGAGCAGGGGTTGGAGCATTCCCATTGTCTTCAGAGAAGAGTTGTGAATTGAAAAGAGGCTTTGTTTTGTGGAGATTGTTTGCAAAGGAGAAGATAGGGTGGTTGAGAAGGAAGAAAAGAGAGACGATAAGGTGAAAGAGGAAAGAGAAATTAAAAGCCATGATTGACGGAATGGTGGTTGGGGGATTGGAGCTCTACTCTTAAAGGTAAATTTAGAGGGGTAGTTAATCACAGCTAGATGATTACTATGTTGCAGCAGCTACATGGTAGTATCTTACTTGCCTTAGTACTAAACCTCGAACGTTGTTTTGAATTGGGAAACAAAGTTCTGGTCTTTGCTCCAAAATAAATCTTGTAATCAATGGGGAAACAGCCCTGAGTAGGATTCAATCGTTCAAATCATGAATAAAGAAGATGACGAAAATCCATTCATCTCCGGACGGCTCTTTTATAGCAAATCAGTCAATTTCTTAATACACCGAACGCCAATAGATTCTTTTCTATTTTATCTTGTTCACCCTGGAAAGCCGAATCAACGGACTACCAAGCGATGTGTGGAGGCATTTGCCTAGGATTATGAGGTCTTTTTGTTACATGTGTGGCATTTAATTCCTAGTCAAACATGCTTTCCTAAGCTGGAATTATGCGTTTAGAATCTTCTGTTCCCAAATTAGTTTCTGTCTCCTCTGTCCTTTTTTTATATAGCTGTCACATTGCCTCTAATTTTTTGATAATCCAAAATCAAACAAATCAATAATAATCGATTGATAAGTTTATTCAAAACCAATTCATCCAATAACTCAAAACTTTTTTTCTTTGGATAAATAAAGCAATTCCGATAACTCAAAACTTTTTTTTTCTTTGGATAAATCAAGTGGTGGTTCCCTAATCAGAATTCCTTCAACACTAGTTTACATGAAAAAGAAGACTGCTAGTCTGCAACATTACATCCATCAATTGATTCTCGAACTATTTATTCTTTTGATTCAATTGCTCACCAAATCCCTACGATATCATTGCCTTTAACTCTGTCAATCATGTTGGATTATGTCGTTTACACCCACAATTACTCACAAAAATCGTGAGGGCTCGTTATTTTTGTTGCAAGATTAAAGATATAATGAGTGAATCAAAGTCCTTGTTAGGGTTGAAGAAAAAAAATGATTTGGTGTAAAAAATAAAGAAGAGTTTTAGTTGATTTTTATTTTTACGACCAACAAGACTTTTTTTTGTTAAAAAAGAAAATAAAAAAGTTTAGAATTATCTCTTTTAATTGATTTTGATTAAACTTATCAACCAATTATTATCAGTTTATTTGTGTTTGGATTATAAAAAAGGACGTGACAACCGTACAAAGAAGGGACAGAAGAGAGGAGTAAAAACTAGATTTGTACAAAGAATAGAAGATTTGGAAGCAGGAATTATGATAGTAGTGGATTTTCTGTCGCAATGTGATTCCATTGTTCTACAAATAGTGGGGAAAAAAGAAACACGCACTAACACACCAACAACAAGAAGTCAACAACCGCAACTGAGCGGTCATCAGCAGGGACTTGCACGGCCAGTTTCGTTTTCCTGTTTCTTTAGAAGGTTCAGTGTACAACAACTCGAGCGTTGGTGTCGGAGGAAAAACAGACTATAAATTACTTAAGGGGCAAGACTGTAATGGCTGTTCAATAGGATATAGTAATGGATTCGTATAATAATGGTTTAATGTGTAGATATTAGCTTTGCGTGGCCTGGGGGCCAGTTGGTTGCTCGCCGTCTTAAACTTAAAGGGGAATAATAAATGGAATGCTTCCATCAAGCTTCTGGATGAACCAAGATAGTGGGAGGTATGACCAAGTTGCTCGAGTAGTAAAATAATAACCCTCACACCTATCCAAAACGGTTCTAAGAATGGTCATCAACTTGAATGAATAAAGTTCAACTTTATTGTTCATGTCGCCTTGTATGTATGGACGACAGCCACTTTGTCAAGGCATTGTTTCGTTGAAGGATTGAAAGCCCTGAATAAAAGCAGGAAAAGTACATGTACATATAAAGCAGTTTGACATCTCAGACTTCACCTATTCAATGAATAAGACGAGGCATTTTTTTTTTTTTCATTTTCTTTAGGCCCCTAATCAGATCCAGTACTGTATGTTTTCTTTTCTGTAGGGTGAAGAATACTGATCTATCGGGTTGGACCATTATGTTCAACTGCCTTTCGTCTTATTATTATCTTTTTTTCCTTCCTGCATTTCTGTTCTTGCTTTGTTGGCGGCTTAGAAGTCCAAATCATCTAGCAATTCACCCTGTTTTCATCACAAGGTCACAATTCCCAAGCAGATAATGATGTATTAAACTATACTACTTTAGAAGTGTTGTCCTAGATAAACCAAACAAAAAGAAGCCATAGTGGAAGTCACAAACCGTTTACATCAAAGCCAGTAAAAAAGATTTTTTAAATGCATGATAGACTTCCCCCCCTGAAATTGTAGACACCCACAAAAGATTTTGGTTGTGGTTTCTGACGAGAGCAAGGATACCCAAAGAAGCGTCTGCTTAGACCCGGATTGTAATCTACTGATGTAACATTGAATCTTAGAAGTACCCAATAAAAGGGCCTGTTTGTATGCACCAAATTTAAAAACATTTGGTGTTGTCAGACATATTGCAATGAATTCCATACAATGAGCTTATGATATAAATAATCAGGGGGGGGGTCGCATTAAGACTCAGTTAAGGGATCGGTTCAATACAGATAATTGACCAGAGTCTCCGTTCAAAAAGAAAACTTCCAATGGCACGTAAGATGATGATGAAATTGATGAAACAAATCTATAGGTAGGTTGCAAAATCTTGCTACCTTTGGCGCATGGAATGGTTAAAAGACGAGGTCCAGTTCTCATCTGCCAAACCTGCAAGCAAGAGTTCAAATGACTTAATCACAAAATTTACCTATTTCTATGCAAGTCACATTATTTTTGAGAGAAAAAAAGACAACCATCAAACTTAGCTGACTGGGAAAACAACATTTGTTCTGGCCTATTATGACGAGCACTCAAACAAACCTTGGCTAATTTATTAATCTTCAACTATTAAAATAGCAAAAGGTAAGCCCCACATGGTAATTCATGACAATGTCCAGATAGTTAAACCACAATATCAGGAAATTGTTAACAGTGCGTATGATCCTAGAAAGAAAGGTCCGACTAAAATGACAAGCGTGCAGCGCAATGGACCTAGAAAACTCCTGCGTAAAATGAAAGAAAGCCTACTACGTTTAGATTCCAAAGAATGATGAGTACAGAGAATCATTGACATAATCTGAAGAGTATGCACCAGAAATTACCTCGACTATCCCTTTACGTGGTGCATGGATGGCTAAACAAAGGCAATAATCACTCTTCTCATATTGATACCCAGCAGATCCTACGGTTGCGGAATTCTTCTTGGCAAGCATCTCAACAAACAAGCAGCTTGCATCTCGATATCCCTGCAAGATGTCAAAGTAAATCACCGGAAACGGCGTGTTATTAAAGATAAAATAGCTCGTTGCTAGAAGCAAACCTTCCATAGTCGCACAACAACAAGTGCCTGCGTGTCCAAAAGCAATATACGACCAAGGGAATCAGTTATTGCAGCCAGAGTACCACTAGGTGATAATGTGAGTTTTTCTCCCTTCCTTGGGTAATCCTTCAAACAAGTAAGAGGAGAAGCTGCCAAATTGAATGAATTCAAGATACGAGTCATGCAGAGTTCAACTCAGATAGAAAATGGAAGCAGACCAATACCTTACTGAAAACATCGATAACATCAGTCTAGAAAGCCCTCCACTGAGGGTTTTGTAATAAAACATATACTAATATGCAGTAACTGTAAGATTGCATCCCATGATATGAACTAAATGATATAACTTCAGAAACACTTTTGCAGGAAAAGCAAAGGAAGCCCTAAAAAATCAGAAAAACTTTTGTCAGAATGCCAAGTGAAAAGCTGAAAGGTAATGAAAACAATAGCCTAAATCCAATATGAGCATGATATAAGACAACGTTCAACAACTAAAAGCACTATACAACCTCGAGCAAGCGGTTGGGGTTTTTCCTCTTGTTTCTTTGTTGTTGTATCACTTCGCCAAATCATTTTTGAGATAGAAGATATAGTTGAAAATGTTGCAGGCACAACTTTTGACAGAATAGCTCCAACTATTGATCTGCTTCTGTCCTCCGAAAGTCTTGACAAAGTATATTCAACAGTGAGAAGACATGAAGAGGCATAAAACATCACAGCAATCCAAGGATTAAAAAAAAATTGAAGACCAAAAGCAATATTACAAGAATCTTATAACCAATCTTCAAGCAGTCTAACCTGTATGCTGAAATCACCGCATCATCTCCAACTGTGACTGCACAATAATAACGTTGACTTGACTGTCCAACAATAAAAGCAGCTGAATTCAAAAACCAGATTAACATTCAGAAAGTTGCCAAAAGTCAACCTATACAAAAGAATAGCACTAAGCTACACAGGCACTTCCACTAAAGAAAGCAAACTATGACAAATAGAGCATGCAAAGCTCCAAAGGTGATGATATCCCTCAGTTCACTAAGAAGAGCACTAGATTTGTTGTACAAAAAGTCTTACTCAACCAGAATGGCTAATTGCAAAGAGGAACTAAAGAGGTTTCAGATGACAAGTGTAAGTACCTGAGGTTCCATTAGAGGAGGAGGCATGATGCCAGTGATAGCAGCATCAGCACACAATCCATACTTGCTAACATTCCATAGCTGATAAGGAAGCCTTCCAAATGAAGCTCCAGAATATTCTTGATCTCTCCTCATGTAACTCTGATCCCAGAAATTCAACTGTCTTTCTCGAAACCACCGATGCAGCATACTCTGCAGATATTCATCATCAAGGTGTAAAACAGCGTGTTAGATTCAAAAACATTAAAAGTTTCATTTAAGGACTCAACGATAAGAAAAAGGTTAGCACGGAAATTGTTAAATATTTATACAAGGCAAAAGCACTTGTAGCAACTTTGAAGACCTCAATGATAACTCCACCAGTTCAAACCAAGCATCAGACTGGAAACTGCTATTAAGTTTACTAGTTTACTTATTTTTATCTATTTGACTTGATGACTCTTTCTCATCATGCAAATGCTATTCCTCCTAATTCTTTTGAGATTTTCTTTAATTTCCTCTCAGCTCTCAAGGGAAGAATTAACTACATATTTACTATTTTTAACATTTAAAAAGTATAAAGCATTTTAGCAGATCTATCCTTTCTTCTACAAAACAGGTTTTTTGTACAACAGATGACGTCCAATAAACTAGATATGAGCAAAATGCTGACTTATTTGCATATACCTGAATGTCAGATCCATCAAATCGAGCAACTGTTGCTCGCATAACAACACAAACCTCCTCGGAAGATGTATCTTCCGACAGGTCCTTGTTAGTTCCACGAACTCTTAACTTGATAATCTTGGCATTGTTCACAAGCTGAAGAACAATTATGTGATCGTTAATAAACCGACTTAAATTCCACTGACACAAAAGAAATCAGTACATTCTCCTGATCAGGAAACTTTTAAGTGTCAATAGAAAAAAAATGAAATAACTGAAAAAGGAAGACATCTATCTTGTAACTATAATCTCTCTGCGATGAGCTCTCTAAAATAAAAAGAAAGAAGAACATCCCAGCTAAATGTACCTCGCACTATTGTCTAAACTCAATATCTTCCCATGTTTTCCCCCAAGTTGTTAATTCAACAATCCATTTTGTTCAACTCACTACAAAGTTCCAAACTTTACTCCATTTCAATAGAATCCCTCAACAATTTTGCGTCAAATAAGCTAATTCAACAATTCCTTGACTCAATTCTACCAAATAAATTTAAAGGGGCCACTCGCATAAAAAAAATGTTGAAAACTTTACTCACTTCCACTTTTCTGCACAAAATAATACTACATAAAGCTCCCAACTTTGCTCATTTTCCTCCATTGTTTCCACAAACTAATACACATAGTTCCAAACCTCACTCAATTTCGATAATCCCACAACGATTCCTCGCCAATCAGCTCCATACCCATAATTGCAGTGGTTCATAAATGAATTCATACCAAAAAGTAGAGTAAGAATTTAACCTGTTTGTGAATGAGATCGCCTTGGAGAGAATAGATTAAAAGAAAACCTGAAGAAGTTCCAATAGCAAGCACCCTAACGTCATCAAACACCAGCCACTCAATAGCGGAGATGTACTCGGCCGCGATCGGGGAGAGTTCAGGGACAATTTTGAGGCGGTAAGAAGAGGGATCGGCGTCGTCGGACCAGTGGAGAACAAGGACAATTGAGCGGTTGGCAAGGGCTAAAGAATGGGTGTCAAGAGCAGTTAAAAGATCGGGATCGCTCACCAGCCAGCCTTCTTTACCTGCCCCAACCTCCGATAAGTCTTCGCAGGCTATGCTGCCCAGCTCCGTCGTGTGGTAGCGTCGCGACATCGGTGGTTTGGAAAGGAGCGGAGCGGATTGGTGAATTTGATCGGACGATGGTGAAAATTGACAGTTGGGATGTGAGGCAATCGACCGGGGAGAAGGAAGAATATTAGAAAGCGTGGCAATTGAAGAAACGTCTTTGCATACCGAAACTTGTACAGTTAGTAGGCAGCTACGGATGTGAACATCAAAATACATACATACATTTTGTGAAGAAGTCATCCTTTCATAGCAAGTGAGTCAACATTTATTGATATCAAACGCTCTCTAATCTTCATCAAGTAAGTGAAATAGATGAACTAAATTCTAATATTCATCGTCGTTTGATTATTTCAAAGAAGTTAAAATTGTGTTTAAATTTAGTTTGTTTATTTATTGAATCAAACTCCCACGAATTTTTTCGAGTCAGAAGTGTCAAGCTAGAGTAATTTAAATTTTTGTATGTAAATTTCAAAATTGATGCAAATTGAATTGAGTTAAAAAGATGTATCGAATATAAAATATTGTTCATGTTCAATTTGATTAGATAGGATCAAGTTTCAATGAGTTCTTAATGCACTTTTATTGTTCTTTTTTTTTTTTTTTTTTTTTTTGGTTGAAGGAGTGCACTTTTATTGTTCAAATATCCAAGTGGTACTATGATAATTGTCATAAAGTTCATAAAAGAAAGTAGAATTTGGACTAAAAATCATAGGATATGGAAGCAATAGAAGCATCCAATTACGATGTTTTGTGGATTTACGAAATTCCCCTTATGGCCAAGACCAACTTAGTGTGCAATTAGATCCTAAAAAACCTCATAATCAAAAAATTTTAGCATATAATTGGATCATAAGTATCTAAGATTGATGAATATATTTGTATCAAATATTCAAGAGGTAAAGCATTCACTCTCAATAAGTCAATATATAAAACATTTTGAATTAATCTTTTTTTCTGACACTATCAATGTATTCAATTTGAATTTTAATATCGAATTTTACATATATATATAATATGCATTTATATCCATCAGTATACACCGTATGAAAATTTTAGTCAAAACATTTTATCTCGGTAAATAGTAAGCAACTTTCTCATACTTGTAACAAGAAAAGTCGAATACATTATTCATCACTTGAGAAGTCAAGTGTTTTGAGTTTTAACCGGTAAAATTGTTAGCCTTATCCAACTTGCCTCACTCCACCAGATCCTGAAAATGCAGACCCAAAACCTCCCATTTGCTAAAGCCCTAAACCCTCCCCCCTTCAACTTTCAACCCTCATCATCATTTTCCAAGTTCTTAAACCCTCTTCACAGAAAGATTGCTCCAATTTATCCCTCTTCTGGAACCGCAAAATCCCTTAAAATCCATTGCCAAAACCCCACCCCACAATTTTCCCGCCAAAATGCCACCCACCAGAGGGACGTCCGGTCCTTTGCCGGACGGAGCAAAGGGAAGCCCGGAGGTACCTCCACTGGGCGCATCGAGGGTAACGCTGAAGTCCGTCGACAGGCTAAGCGAAACGCTCGCCGGAAAAGCAGGAAACTGGCAGAGAGCTTGTTTTACAGACTGAAGAACCCTAACAAGAATTACCCGGACAATTTATCGGAAGAGCAGCTTGAGATGATTGGTCTAGGATATGATAGAATGGTTAGGTTTATGGAAAAAGATGATCCAAATCTTAGGCACCCGTACGATTGGTACAAGTATGGTGAATTTGGACCTTATTCTTGGCGTGGGGTGGTTTTGGGTGAGCCAATTCATGGACGGATTACCGATGAGTGTGTAACTTTGATTGGTGAAGTTCGCAATCAAGAAGAGTGGGAGAAGATCGAGCAGTTTGAAATGGCTCGAGAATTTCAAACTAGATTAGATGCAATGGATAAAAATGTTAAGTTCAGGAATTTTTGGGTGTTTGTCAGGCATCCTAGGTGGAGGGTTTCGGAGTTGCCTTGGCAACAGTGGACTTTGGTAAGCGAGGTGGTTCTTGAAGCCGGGGATCAGAGGTTGGATAAGTGGAATTTGATGGGAAGGCTCGGAAATAAGGCAAGGTCCATGATTACACAGTGTGCAGCGTGGATGAGGCCTGATATAATTTATGTGAAGAGGCCAGTTTATCAGTGTAGATTTGAGCCTCAAGATGACTTTTTTAAGGAATTGACACCGTTGCTTGATCCACAGACTGAGGGGGATTTTTTGTTCCAGTTGGTGAATGATGATGGGAGGGTGGAATTCTGTACTTATTTTGGTGGATTATGTAGAATAGTGAAGGCGAATCCAAAGGCGTTTGTAGATGATGTTGTGAATGCTTATGAGAAGGTGAGTGATGAGAAGAAGTCGAAGTGCTTGGAGTTTTTATTGAACAACCATCCAGTGCCTCTGTTGCATCCATATACTAAGGAGTGGAAGGTGAAATTGGAGGAAATGGAGTTGGGTTGTGACGCCCCAGATGATGAGAATGGCGATCATGGTGATAATGATGAGGAAGGTCAGATAATGGACTGGATTGAGGATGATGGCGACGAAAATGATGGAAGGAGTGAAGTGGAGGATGGTGAAGACGATGATGCAATTTTGGATGTAGAGGATGCTGGAGATGATGAGTTGGGAATCAAGGAGGAAGAAGAGGATTTCGGTCCTGAAGAGGATCCAAACTACTGGGATGCGGAATTTAAGAAGGCATTGAGCAGTAACGAAGCAATGGAAAAGCTTGCAAAACGAGGCTTAGAGATATCTAACAAAATCTATGAAAAGCAGATTAGAGCAATGGAAAGGAGGGGGAATGGGACAGTTGAAGAAGATGGGGATGAATTGGCAATGAGGCGGACAAGAGCAAAGGTCAGTCCAGCAGAATGGAAGAATCTCGGTTACGGTCCTTTCAGGAAAAGGATCAAAAAGAGTAAAGTACCGCCTGGTTTGTTCTTACGAGCTGCTGTTAGACCATTCACTTACAGAAACCTAGTCAAAGAGATTGTTTTGACAAGACATGCCATCATAGAAGGAGAGATTGGTAGGAAGAAGTGATATGTAGGTATTTTGACGGGTCTGGGAGTATGAATATCGCCAAAACATCAATGGCTATTTTTGCAGCTTCAGTCTGCAGCTAGTACTTCATGCTTGCATGATTTCTTACCTCTGCAGAGCTTGACTCGAAGCCTCAATACTTTGAGCTGTCCTTGCAAAACTTAACACCAAGTATGCCTTTCTTAATCTTTACTTTGAATCACATCTGAAGAAGCCTCTGGATAGGGATGTATCAACTATTGTCTGAGTATATGGTCCATACTGTAATCGAGCAGTGGCAATTCAAACCCTCTGCTCGAGATTTGCTCTATCCTAGGTTAGTGAAGCATATAAAAAAAAATGTATCACTGTTTACCGTTTAGTTTGTCCGTTGATGTTTTTCAATTATTCCATTATGGATGATTGGATATAGTATCGATAAGACACCTTCACGCTGCATTATTATGAAACCAAAATAAGGGATCAGAAACTTTCACCTCCCCCCCCCCCTCTTCTCTCTCTCTCTCTTTTTTAGAGTTTATGGACACTAATGTACGAGTGGATTTCAGTTTAGCAAGCAATCTCCTATCATGTAACTGTTGATTTGCAGGGCTTCAAATGCATTGAGTTGTTAGCACGCAAAACATTACAATAAGCTAAAAATTGCTTGCTAATCCTTCAGAAACTATGCTGTTATTCCTGCTTACTGGTGTTCCTAAAGGGATGCTCAGAACCATTGGTAGGATGAATCTTTCAGTGCTACTTATCCAAAGGAAGGCGAAACACGACTCCAAAAGGAAGAAAATTAGATGCAACATAATCACCATAAAGGTCACAATAAACTGTTCACAATGAGGTCAATAACTACAATGTTCTCCCATTGGACCATCTGCTCTTCACTATCTACAGAATGAGTTACTCGAATTATGTCCTTCAGTTGCATAAAGTCACAAGTACACTGTTAGATGCCAGATTTTAACTGTTGAAGTACTGCTCCGGTAGATAGAATTTTAATCCAATGGCCTGCAATATACATAAAACCAGCCCATCAATCCAATTTTCATAAACTTTACCAAATCACAAAAGAGGGTGAAGAGGAAGTGACTTTACCCAAGAGTACCACAGGTGAAGTAATGAAGACACTAGCATTAAAATAAGGATATTATGTTTGTTAAATAAAGACTGATAAAATTATGCATGTCAAACAAGGAATCAGTAATGACTAAAGACAACTGAAAGATCATCCAGCCGCAAAACAATGTGCGATATTTCAACTATACTTTGGATACACAAGGTTGAATGACTGATCAAGCAATCAAGCAAGAAATCATAAGTAGCGCAACAGATCATCTTAATAATAAGTAGCATCCAGTTATGAGCTATCTAGCTGCTTGGAGGTTCAAAAGTCAAATACGCTCACTACCTCTGCAAATTTGATATCAGCATCACTATGATCATTTGGTCTTCCAGCAGCATCACCGACATAAAAGGAGCTATAAAAAATAAAAAATAAAATTCAACAAACCAATTGTGCAAGTTCTCGTAGCAAGTATAATTTAGACTATCAAGTCACTCAATGAAAAGCCATATGGCCAATAAATCCAGAATTGGCAGGAAAGAGTGGAAGGACAATAACTGATCCATGTCAATTAGAAGACCGGAATTGAAGTGCTTCTCCATGATATGCCACATCCCAGTTTTTGGTTTGCGATAGGCATCCTCTGGTTGACAGTTACTTAGTCCACAAGCAATAAAAACCTGCATATGGATTTGTGCAATGAAGAATTGAGTAGGTTTCCACAAGAAAAGGAATTACTCTTTAGTAGACACAGCAGACTCAAAAAGTTTATCATGGTGGTAGTCTACAATATCAACTTTTTTGTTTAGTTCTTTTTCCAGAAAACTAAACAAACAATAAACCATTACAAAAAAGAAATACTGGATGACAAACATTAGCATGAAATTTGTTGGTAAATGTCTTCACAAATCTAATTCCAGCCATTTTTCATTAGAATACAGTCATGTTGAACACCTCATGCATCCTTCTATTACAAATGTTTGACATTCCAGGCATACAGTTGATTTTGGAATTTATTTTACTACTTGATTGTAAAAGAAGCTAAGTTTCAAGTAGAAAATAACCACATGCCTCCTCGCAAACAATGATGGTCTACCAAGAAAAAAGTAACAATCCATTTAAGTTACTCCATTGATAGATTTGACACCAAGCCAAACCAACCTGAATTGGAACTTTTACAAGCTTTATGAAGCTTTCAATTCGCCCAATTTTCGAGTCCACTGCAACCTGTCTCTTCTTCTTCCAGCGCTCAATATTAGATTCATTAGTGAAAATAACCTAGTAAAAATGAAGATAATTCAGTAAGAGAGGAAAACAAAATAGTCAAAGACAGAAACTATAGTCAACTTGATCAGCAGCACCACGAATTTCATAATTCACAAACTAGTAAAGAAAGATTAAAGATTAAACAAGAAAAAGAGTCACACCAGCTTGTAGCCTTCATCATATAATCTCTGCAGCTTCTCTGGTATTGAAGGATACATAAGAGACCATGCATCTGCACCTATTCTAAAAGAAAAAGTAAATGTCAAGTTCTTCCAATTACGCTTCAAATAAAGATCCCCTGTAAGTTTGACACATATGACAAATCCAATCCAAACAACAATCAAAAGCTGCAAAACATGTTGCTAACTTTACTATAGTATATTCACTACCTCTGATATAAGAGCAATCCAGATTTCTCAGTTGTTGTTTCCATTCCAGTAGCACCACTTACTGCTCAGCCACTTAGCTAGATGTCGTATTCACTTACAGAGCATCTATGTTCCAAACTTTATTTTAATTTGAGCTTGATGTTTTAGAAGTTTAATGAAAGAAAAAGGGCTAGCTTGCAGATTAGAAAACTTAAATATGTCCGTGTAGTCCTGATTGTAAGCACTAAAAATGCTAACAACCAAGTCAATAGATTTTAAACATCTTCACACTATTATTCATGAATATCACAACAATAATACCTTGTTAGAAGGCAATGGTTCCTCACGCAATATACAGCAACAAAGTTTGACTATTATACTAATCTAGACTTTTATTTCATGTGACATCTTTCGTTCAAGAAAATGCAAAAGTCAAAATATGGGAATCTAAATAGATATATTACTTGTGGATTGGATACTTTTAAAAGACAATAAATCAGAAACAAAAAGGAATTTCATTCAGAAAGGTTAGCTTCACCCAACAAAGTTTAACTATGGAATTGTTGCTATTTTAGCAGGCCAAATTCAACTTCCTAACTTTATTGCACAAGAGTTCTAATGAAATTTTTTTATGCATATAAAAGATGGGAAATATGACATACTTGTTCACTGCTGTCTTGGCAAGACAACCATCAAAATCAAATGCAGCAATCTTCGTTGAATCATGAAGACCATCAACCTAAGAATTTAATATGAGATTTATCAAATGATGCACTGCAGTAAGGAACTCCAGAACAAACAAGGACTTCCGATATAACAGAAAGTTTAATTTCACAAAGTGGAGCAACAGAGATGTACTTTAAAGATGAATGTGTAGCACGAATAAAATCTTAATAATTATCTATGTAAAATAAGCCAGCTATAGCATGAATAAGTCTTACAGGGTTCTGTCATCTTCACAAGTGATATTCCATGATTCCTACTCACCCGTTCAAGAAATATGATAGTTTGGAATGCTTTCCACTGGGGCAGCAATGCAGCGTCCTGAATTTCAAAACGATATGAATAGGGAGGATGCATGATTAGAAAAAAGAAGACCAGTTGCTGGAACAGAGGTAATTCTACTTATTATTCCCTAAATCTAGAATAATTCAGCAGCTCTGAACCAGTTGCCTAAAATTTGAGCATACCTTGTACTTTTCCTTGATCTCAGTAGCAGAAAATGTGATCTCCAGCTTGCTGCCCTTGTCAGACTCAGATAGCTAACGGGAATTGGATGCAAGCGGTAGTTAAAAAAAGCAAAAAAATAAATGTGGGCAAATACTACTGAGAAGTACATCTTTGGTGCACAAGGAAGTAAATATATCGAGGACAAGTAGCAGAATGAATCACATGGTGTAACACTGAAGGTCCGTGCGTGATATAAGGAGAACCAGAAAGCAGCATTTATCCATGTTATTTTAAATGTGGTGCTGAATAAGTCATGAATGTGGTGTCCGTGGTTGGAAGGTATCAAATATGCTAGTACAATAAAATGAAACCAACAATACCACTGTCACCATATCTACAACAACCACAAAATTAAAGAGCCTCCAGTTCATCTGAGAAGGTACCTTTTTCTTCTTCACTTTTTGTTTCTCCATCTCATAACTCTCATCTTCATCATCTCGTCTGAGAACCTATTGAAAGTGGAGGGCATTAAGGCCTTTAAGATTATTAACATATGGCAAGCGATTAACATTAGAAATCTTACCTTGAATTCCTTGGTTTCAGTAATAGAATCTTTTTCTCCATCCAAAACCTGAAATGTCAAACAGCTATTATGAGTTATATAGAGAGCTCATACTGAGGACCACATGTTAATTACAATTGAATACCTGCACCGATAAGCTTAAATAGTTTCTAAATACAAGTTTATAACATGCAAGTTGCTTCATTATCACAGTAGCATATTGCCTTACAGTTTTATAGCATATAGTTGCATAAGCCATGAATTGGTAACATTGCTAGAAACTAAATGTTTGAATTTCAGGAGTACTTCACAATGCCACAGGGCAGTTTCACTGTCCAAAGCAAGAACTCAAAAGACCTGTGAAGAATGTAATGAACAATACCAAAAAACCATGAAGGATCCACAAAACAAATGCTTGACTAAGAAGGGTCCTAACAGGCTCATGAAGCATTATCTCAAGTTGCAGAATATTCTAACTAGATGTGAGAGAAGTCATTGTCCACCACAAGTCGTAACGAAGACAGACTCCACTTAAGGCATTAGTAGAGGAGATCACGCATAATCCTCTTCATCTTATGCTGAATTTCGCATTGCATATTGAACAGATAACCATAGCATCAAGGTGCAAAGAGGAGCTTATAAGAGTAAAAGACTATCTGTGGTGCAACATTTCACAAATAATATACCTTGTCTAGAGCCTGAACACTTTCCTTCATCAATTTCTTTAGTTCTTCTTGATCACTGCTCTGCATAGCCACAACCACAAAAATAACCAAATAAAATGAAGTCGACCCCACAGATTCTCTCAACTTCAAATCCAGCAGCCAAAAAAAAAAGCCATCTTTTTTAAAAGAAAATTTCTAATTTCACGGTAACAAGATTCTACTCATACTCGGTTTTCTAATATTCAAAAGTTTAACTGTTAGTTTCAAACAGTAATTTCCACTTCCCAGTATAGCCTACTATTTTGCTACTAAACTAAAATCTTCTTAAATAAAAAAAATAATGGAGAAATCCTTCGGAAGAAATTAAAATGCTGTACTACCTTGAGCGATGAAAATCCTTTGATGGACTCCGGCGATGCACCGGAATGGGAACTCAAAGGCAGACAATGCAAATGATGCCATTTGGTCATGTCGAAGCCTCGAGCGTCTCTGGTAACTAAACCAAGCCTTAAGGCACTTGCGGAGATTGTTTTCGAGCATTTCTTGCACGACGATCGTCCAGACTTGGCGTACTCCGCTATCATCTTCGCCGACGAAGAAGACGCCATTTTTGAGGAAAATAATGGGGATGGGGAAATTGTTGTGGAGCTAGGGCTTTTAGTAACTGTGAGGAAGTGAAAGAAATTGAGGACGACGGGCATCAATGTATTGGCGGACTGGGACGGCACGCCCGAAACTACTTTCCCGGAAAAATGCTTAGGAAACCGGGAAAGACCAATGATGTTTTCGGTAAACCGGCTGGTCCTGTGGCCGAACAGTCCCGGTTCATTTTGGTCTTATAAGCAAGTAATTTTTCTTTAAACCATCCCATTTGGTTTCTTAATTAATTAATTAGTAATTTTAGTCTTATTATTAGTGTTACTTTTTGAGTATGTAAATTTCGAATAATGCATATTGATATGAAATTATGAAGAGTTTATTTGTGAAATGAATCACAGAAGCTCGCCTGTTTTTTTTTTTTTTTGGGATCTTCATTGTTTAATTTACTTTTAATTGCAATTATCCATTTCTAGTGTGAATATATTATGTACTAGAATGTTTCATGTGACATATTGTCATTTCAAAGCTCAAACACTAAGACAAAATCTCGTAATTTACCAAAATGTTCTCAAAAATTTTTTAGTGCTTGACTCATTGAGTATGTTTAGATAACCATGATTTGGGAAAAAAAAAATTTCTTGCATCATAAATACAATTTTTTTATTTTTTTATCTCATATACATTATATCATAAAAAATATTATAGTAATTATTTCAAATAATCTCCCGTTCAAATAAAAAGTGTTACAGTAATTTTTTATTTTAATTGTATCTCACAAGGTCCAAAAATTGGTGAATTGTGTGTTAGTAGCACTTTAACATTAGTTTTTTTTTTTTCTTTTCAATCCAAGCATCAATCAAGCAAATATTGGTTTTTAAAAAAAAAGAAAAAGAAAGTATCAATCAAGCAAAAAAATTGAACGATAAAGATTAAAACAAAAATGACATGGATAGAAAGAACAAAACAATTGAATAAGGAATAAAACCAGAAAAACGTGAATTGCTAAACTCCGTAAACTCTATGGCGTATGCCATGTCTGTCAGAGAGTGGTGCTTCGGCTTCCTGTAACCGCCGTTCCACCGAACATCGCTTCACTTCCGCCCATTTGGAAATCGATTAAAATCCTAGTTTTTTCATCAACAATTCCAATTTTCAGTCCTTCATGTTCTGCAAGCAATGGATCCAGACTATGAAAGAAGATTGATAGACGAGGTGATTTACCTCCACTCGTTATGGCACCAGGGGCCGCCTACTAGACCAACCCAACAGCCCACACCATCTGGCCTTCTCCATCACCCCTACAATCCCATACAATTCAAGAGGCAAGAAGGAATTAAACCTGCAAGCAGAAAAGGCAGAAAGAACTCCGATAGAAAACAATTGCAAGAATCCCATAACCCAACTCTATTGCCTTCTCCAGCTTCCGGAAAAGAATGGCCTTGCAATCCCACTTCTAATTCACCTCCGGCCACCACCTCCGGCTGGGGAACAAGCTGGCCGCAGTCGAGTCCGCAGACCCTTCTACCCTCCTCTGCAGAAAAAGCCAAACTTGCAGCCAGTCAGGCTCAATTTAAGGCTTTGCAGATAACTGAAGAATTTTTTAAGTCTGGTGATGATGATGATAAGGAGGATAGTGAGGATGATGATGATGATGATTCGCTGGAGGAGGAAGAGTATAGGTTTTTCTTTAAAGTATTTACAGAGGATAGGGAGTTGAGGGAGTATTACGAGAAGAATTATTATAATGGGGAATTTAATTGCTTAGTTTGCGGTGGTTTGGGGAAAAAGTTAGCCGGAAAGAAGTTTAAGGATTGTGTTGCTCTTGTTCAGCATTCGATTTCAATAGCCAAGACGAAGAAGAGGAGAGCTCATAGGGCTTATGGGCAGGTAATTTGCAAGGTTCTTGGATGGGACCTTGCTAGGCTTCCCACCATTGTCTCAGCATTGAGCGAAAAGCGTGAAATATGTTTGCAGAATTCACGCCAGGGTGACGTTGAGGGCCAGGACAAATGCAAAGCGCAGGTACTTTATGTTTCGTTGTCATGCATAATGATGCCCTGTTGGATATTAGTTGAACTCTGTAACCTTGTGAACATGTTTCAGGAAAAAGTTTGTAAAGGAACTGAGGGTAGTTCTGTTGTCCATGAAAATCAGGACAGTCAATTGGATGCTAGTAACTCAGGGCAGGTTGAGTGCGAGACGTGTACTTTATGCTGTGTTGTCATGGAATTTGCATGTGAAAGAGTCCTGGTGGACATCAGCTTATTGATACATTTCTTTGGAATGTTTAACAGGCAAATGTTGGCAAAGGAACTAATGATGTTTCAGTTTCTCTGGAAACTAAGGAAGCCCTTGTGAATGTTAGCAAAGGTGGAGAATATCTGCCAAAGGAGTGTGTTTGCACTGAAATTTTGCCAAATAATGGTGGTGAATCAGCAGATGCTAAGGTTTGTTAAACATTGTTGGTTTCTTAGCAATGTCGATGCTGTCCAGACAACAGATGAACTTTTTATTGAATTAAGGTGTTGTATGCCGCAGATTTCTTCCTCTGGAGCTGAGGCATCTGATAGTCCTGAAGTTTTCTGCCAGACAATTCCAGAGACTCTAGAACATACAGAAGCTGGACTGGTCAATGATGGATGAGTTCTCTACTGCATGCTGGCATCCACTGTTTTGTCCAAGGTCGGTCTGGCTCTTTTAAGTTTGTTAAATATTTGCATTGTGAACTATTTTGCAGATGAAGAATGTACTGGGGAGAATTTTTCAGTAATTGATAATGGATAGGTTAAAGTTAGGCTTCCTTAGATCTCAAACCACATTAACTAATAATCATGTTCTTCAGAATTCTGACCATTGTTGTAGTGGATAGCCTGTAAGTTGGCTACTTTATGTTTCACTCTGAAGCATGTAGCATTTAGTATGGATTATCTGGTTCCAGGTTGACCTTGTGAATGTTGATGCGTCTCCATGTTTGTGTTTCATGTTGCACATGAATGGAACTTCTCGATGTTTTCTTTGCCAAATAAAGTGTTTATTTTCAAAAGAAGCAGAAAAGCAATCAGACAAGGACATGGTCATCCTTTATACAAAAATTATCCTTTTAAATTGCTAGCCCACTTTTACGTAGCTACTTAGAGAAGCATAAATCAGGATATAGAGAGAGGGAGAGAGTGCATCATTCCTAGAGACTAATGAAGCTACTTTTTTAGATGTCTAGAAGTTTTAGCAGTACTTTAGCTGGAGCACCAACAAGCCAGAGAAATTGTCCCTTGCTGGACAATTTATTCAGGTTGAAAGTTGCAATACATGCTACCTATCTATTCAAGCCACCATCAGTTTCTTTGGCCATCAAAAGAAAGTTTGTCAATTCCAGTTTATAATACAGCTGACATGCTAATTTCTGGAGTTTTTTGAAGATTCAGTTCATCTACTTTCTTGCTTGCAATTCATCTTGGTTTCTGTTATTTAATAGAGTGCATATGGTCAATTATGAGATCATAAGATGCTCTGTAGTGACATGAAACTACATTTTCCCCAATTTTTAACTTCCCAAATTTCTAGTGCAGAGCTCTTATTGATTACCTGTTCCTCTTCATCTCCCCTGTTTTTCATTGTAATCCGAAATGGGAATGGTTTAAAAATATTTATAGGACAACCATCTCCTTCCCCTCCTAGATTTTTGACCTTGGCTTTTCTTCGTTTGATTGGTACTGTCTTAATTAAGTTAGCAAAGGAAACCCTCGAGTTCATAATCATGACAGTAAAATGGAGAGTGCAGCAGGCTATTGAACTGCCAATATACAGTTCAGTATGCATTCCCTTCAAAAAGGATTCAACTGCTTCTTTCACCATCAGGTGTGAGACTCGTATGCATTGCATTTCCTCAGCAATCAATCAAAAGGTGCGTCAAAATTTTCAACCGGGGTACTACAACAAAGCCCAAGAATTTGTATTTTCATCAAACACGAACCCAGAAAAAATTGATGACATTTTGAGGTTTAATTTTGATGGTCTTGGATGACATTTTGGGGTTTAATTTTCATGTCAAGTGCAACATCAGTTATAATCAAGAAAATCGAACAGTCACAAAGTGGAATATTGCTTAGATATATACTTAATTGTACGTATACCCTAGAAATAGACGTGTACTCTCCCCTCCTTTCCTTTCCTTTCGTAATCCAAACGAGGCGGATGGATTCAGATTTTCTTTACTCTCCTCTCCTTTATTTTCCACTAGAGTTCTTTCCTTTTCTTTCCGCCTCGATCCTTTCCTTTCTTGTCCTTCAATCCAAACGGTGCCTTAGTTCAAAATCTATACTCTCTCTGTCCTATTGTTATTGCCATATTTTTACTTTATTGATGTTTCAAAATAACAATCACAATTTCAAATTTAAGACATGCTTTTCAATCTTACCATTTGAAAAATTAACTTTTTAAAATACTAATACACATCTACCAAGAGATTATTTTTAATTCAGAGGATAAATATCTAAATTCACCAGTGTCATCTCATTTAGATATAATGATTACTATGCCTCCATAAAAAAGTTGAATTTCTAAAAAAATGACCATAATATTGGGACAGAGAGAGTAATAAACTTGTTAAAGTCATTTTTAAAAATTTTTTTTGATATATAAAAATTACTCTAAAAGAACCAATTTTGATTTTATACCAAAAATACTTTAGTGGCCAAAAGTTCTACTATTAAATTCAAAGAATGATGCTCACCAAACATGTTAGCGTTGCTTTTGTCTCCAAAAATGTTTTTGAAAAGTAAGGTTCCGTTTGGTAAGTGAGTTTTTTTTTGTATTTGTCTAAAATTTTACTGTAATTTAATGCAGAAGTTTTAAAAAAAAAATTTTAAGTGTGTTTTTTTTAAATATTTTCAAGTATATAAGTTTAAAAATTTTGAGAAGTTTTTTGATGTCACTGTAACTAAAATTTTTAAAAAACGTGTAGCAGGCTTTGATAAAAAAAACTTATCTGCCAAACAAAGCCTAAATTATCTGTAAAAGCACCGCAATTTCAAAGTAGTCTTTAAAATTTTAGCTCACCAAACACGTTAGCATTGCTTTTGTCTCCAAAAGTGTTTTTGAAAAGTAAACTATCTGTAAAAGCACCATCGCAATTCCAAGAAGTCTTTAAAATTTTAGCTCATAGGTAAAGATTATATGAGATTCGGCGTTACCCAAATATCTTACGTAAGCAGACAACCCCTAATTTGGACGCGAACTATTCCATTCCTGCTGATAGGTACCCAAATACTGAAATATCTCCTCAACCAAACGCTCCAATATCTAAACCAATAAGAAGAGGACAGTCACCCCTCTCGCACAGTCATTGACGCTTAGAAACACGCACTAAACAATCGCATAATCCTCGAAGAAGTCTCCGACATAAAATTTTGAGAGCGAAGATGGCCGGAATCACACAAGACTGGGAGCCGGTGGTGATCCGCAAGAAGGCCCCTACCGCCGCCGCACGCAAGGATGAGAAAGCAGTCAACGCCGCCCGTCGATCCGGCGCCGAGGTCGAAACCATCAAGAAAGGTATTATCCAATACGCTAGTGTTTTTTATTCTGCCTATTCTTCTTTTTTAATTTGTATTTTCTGCATGCGGATATGGTTTGGCATCTCATCTAGGGTTTTGATTTTTTTTTTTTATTCTACAAATTGTTTTTCCATTTTTCCTGTCTGTCTAACTTTGAGCTTCGATTACTGGTGAATCGGGAATTTGTATGAGTATTAGTTTGTTGTTAAGATGGATGTTTGATTTCTATACATTGATTTATCGATGTTTAATCCATATTTTTGTGTTAATTCCATTTATTGTTCTATTAGGGTTTATTCATGTAAGTGTTTATGCTTTTATCTTGTGTGGAATTTTGTTTCTGAAATGGTAATCAACATTCAGTTGATATCTGATTCCTGATTGTATTATGTAGTTCACGGATGTGTATGGTTGAGCATTCGTGGACGTTGTGTTTTGTGGTGATGTGGCTTTGGACTTCTGAAATATGTAATACTTAAATGTGTTGATGAAGTAACTTCTTTAGTGAATGGTGGGGCTCTTCTAGATGTTAAGGCCAGATAATGCGGAATAGGAGTTTTGATAGTAAATGTATGTGTTACTGGGATACTCTCTAACTTTTCGTAATTTTGGTGCTTATTTATCAGATAATGAAGCTTTGGCAGTTGTTAAATTTTGTATTTGTGTAGCAAATTTGTTATACATGCACTCAATTGCTTTATTTTGTATTGCAGCTAGTGCAGGAACAAACAAGGCTGCCTCTAGCAGCACATCTTTGAATACAAGGAAACTGGATGAAGACACTGAAAATTTGGCTCGTGAGTAGGATCTTATCTCACTTTTTTAAGCACCCTACAGATTTTTTTATATGCTTCAGAGCTGAACATACTGCTGGGAACTACTAGATTTTAATTTTCTCTTCATTTTACTGTATGAAGGTGTTATTAGTTTTGCATAAGATACAGGAACCTTCATTAGGATGTGCATGAGATCCTGTGAAGTAAAATTGCTGGGCTTGGTGTTAAAGGGACTTTGGGAGATTATTGTTTTCATTTCTCTTCTCCTTTCTTATCTGTTTTTTTTCCCCTTTTGGGGGAAATTTGTTACAGCATTGAGGCACAATGTAGGCAGTCCTGCACAAGCTTTTTTTTGTAGAAATTGATGTATGCTGATATGCTGATACTATATGTTTCGGAAAGCCATTTGTCATCTTGATGTGATCTTATGATTTCATTTTTTTTTTCAGATCAGAAGGTACCAACTGAGTTGAAGAAAGCAATCATGCAAGCTCGACAGGAGAAGAAACTTAATCAAGCTCAACTTGCACAGGTATCTCTTTTGTTTACACAGATTGACTTAAGATTATCACACCACTTAGATAGATGGCAACCAGATGTAAACATTTATTACCCTGAGTCAATTATGTGATGTGGAGATAAATGAGAAGCAATCATTTTAATCTATTGTTTCCTGTCTACAGCTGATAAATGAGAAGCCACAAGTCATCCAGGAGTACGAATCAGGGAAGGCTATTCCAAATCAGCAGATTATCTCTAAACTGGAGAGGGCTCTGGGTGTGAAACTTCGAGGAAAGAAATAAAACAATGGGAATGGAAGAAGCCAGTGTTCTGCAATGTGATTGTCGTTTGAGGCCTAAGAATAGTGGTGTAAATGAAACCTCCCCACCCCTTTCCGTTTTTACTTTGGCAGCCCTTTTAACTACTGTTGTGACTTGTGTCTCTTGAAACTACGGCTAATGGATGTGGCTCTTCCTTGTCAAATGTGAATCTTTGTCTTGTATTTGCTATATTTGCCTATTTTTCACAGTTATGATGCTTTGCATGAGTATTGGTCACGGATATGATTCTACTAGCATTTTTACCTGTGCTATGCACGGGCTTATATGTTAAATGCAAAGGTCAAAACTGTGTTACAACCAATTAGCTATGAAAAACTGATAAAGGTTTTACCAAGTATTTAGTATTTTGAATGCTGGCCAAAAAGTTTTCTTCATTTTTGGGGTTTCTATTGGGAGTTGCACCGAGTTTGGTTTCCTGGTGGAATATGTTAAAAAGTATTGGAAACGCGAACCATGCAAGAGTGAAATTAATAGAAATGTAGAGTAACTATTTGTATGACAAGTTGGTTGAAGACAACCTTTTTACCTCAAGAGAAATGAAGTAGTACTTAAAACTGAATGTCATTACATGTTTCTTTTTCAAATACATGCGTGATTTGTAAATATAGATGATTGAATGAAAAATAAACATGAAGAATGTTGATAGACGAAATTGTAGGGGCTTTAACAAAAGGTTGAAGTTGCTACTAAATGATAGCATTTCACACTTTATAAAAAAGATTGGTATAGGTAAAATCCATAACAGAATCTTCATGCCCGACGAAAAGAATTTTTCTAGGTGTGTGTATTCGAGCAATACGGTTGTCACAATTTAGATCTCCTCAACTTGAATTTGGAAATAAATGTAGCTTTACTAATATATATGAAAATGA